ATGTCAGCCACCTCAGCTATCTGTCGACGCATGGTACATCCCATGCAGGGGCTTGTCTTGCCATGGTACTTTCTCCACTTGAACTTCCTCCCATGTTTCACGCTGCCTGAGGCATTCTCTCAGCAGCTCATCTTTGGGTGCCATCTTACTGATGTACTTCTGGATGGTTTCATCCAGGACAGTGGCTTTGACACTCACCAGACCCCACCTGCCCTCTTTCCAGCTAGTGTACAGTCTCTGGGTGCCAGATTTGGAGTGGAAATCTCCATACATTGTGAGGAACTTCCAGGTCTTCACATCAGGAGCCTCCATGTCCTCCTTTGGTCAGCTCAGTATACCAGCAGGGTATCTGATGACTGGCAGGGTGTACGTGTTGATGGCATGGATCTTGTTCTTCCCATTGACCTGGCGCCTCTTCTCCTTTGGTGTTACTTGGATGTTGCCTCCTCATTGTGGTTCCCATGTGACTGTGGGATACCGAGGTACTTGTAGCTGGTCTGTATGTCTGCTGTGTGGCCCACTGGTAGTTCCACCCCATCAGTCTTAACTACCTTCCCTCTCTTTACCACCATCCAGCCGCACTTCTCCAGTACAAATGAGAACCCAGTGTCCTCACTGTAGATCCATATCAGGCTGCACATCCAGTTGCTCTTCCGGGTCTTCTGGAGTCTGGGATGTAATATGTAGTTGATCTATCTGAAGTTGTGAGAGCAGCTTCCCCTTCACTATGTTAAAGCATTGGGTAACTAGCTATTTCTCAGTTAGTGTGGATGTAGGTCCTTTGTCCATCCATAGTTCCTTCACACATTTCATATATCCCCTCTCATTGTCTGTGCTTAGTTCATGTCACTCTCATATCCAAGGTAGGCAGGTGACGCGTTAGGAGGTCATTGCCCAAGGATCCCTACTAGTAAGGTAGGTATCAACCAGGATTTGAACCCCAATCTCCCACGTCAAGGTGTGGTGCTCTATCCAGCCGTTATATATATGTGAGTGATAGATAGATAGATAGATAGATAGATAGATAGATAGATAGATAGATAGATAGATACATTAATTGCCAGTTTACTCTCTCTGTATTATTTTTAATTTTATGGAATGTATTATATACAGTATTTTTTTAAAATTTGAACTGCTTGATGTTGAAAAGCTATATATAAATTCTGTAAGTAAATTTATATTTTGTGCTTATAAACTAATCTTCCATAAGCTAGGCCCTCTAGATGAGTTGGGATATAAGCTCTCAATCCACCTAGAGGTCCCCAGCTGCTAGAAGGCTAACTTCTGCATAACTCCTAATAGATTCCTGTTCAAACTTCTCTACTGTTGATGAAGAGGAGGAGGAAGTGGCTAACATCTGCCGACCACCTCCTGATGACCACTCACCTATCTTTTCGTGTCTACCTGATTCCTTGGAGTGTCTGGCCGATGCCAGTGAATCTTGCTTCATCCAGTTAGACTCGTGCCCCATGGAGGAAAGCTGGTTCATCACTCCACCTCCATGTTTTACAGCAGGTGGTTTAACCACTCTCAAAGTAGAAACCAGCCCACTGGAAAATCTGCTAATTGAACATCCCAGCATGTCTGTATATGCAATCCATAATATCTGCCACAACCTCAACAAGAACAATTGTGATGAAAAAGAAGAGGAGGAGGAGGAGGAGAGAGAAGTGGAGCCCCATGCTGAAAGCAGCCATAGGTATGTTTTCTGTTAAAATGGATTGAGGCAAAATGTAGTGGTACTAGGTAACCAAGTGGGAAAAAATTGCAAATATTTCATTAAGACAGTACTGAAAATTATTATGGGGGTGTGTGAATTGTGCTTTGGGCAGGATGCCTTTCTCCTTGTTCCCCCCATTCTGCCCCTCCATCACTGTCCATCATGTGGCCTCTTCTTGTGAGCGCAGTATGTATGCTATCAATGCCTTTGTTACTGCTTGCTTGTAAACAGATAACAGAGCAAGTGGGAAAAGCACTGAAGCAGATAGACCAGAAAATACCAGAAGCTGAAGGTGAGTCCCCTGTTAAGATGTGGCTCTTGGTGAGTGTGCAGTGACACTCACTCAGCAGAGGCTGAAACATAGGTATGGTGTGCTGAAATTAAGGAGCGGTGCTTGTTTTGTTCCACATTACTGTGTCCTTTGCAATTAACAAGAGAATCCAGAAGCACAGTATTGTGAGTAAAAGTGGCAAGTGTAGAGAAGTTCAGGCCTGGAAAAGGAGTGAATGGACAAAGAGCCTGGCTGAATCAGGCTAAAGGCTTAGTTAGTTCAAAAATAATATATTATGTAGTAGCCAGCCGTCTATGCCCAATACATTTATTAATAGAACATGAAGATAATTGCCCTCTTCCACTTTCCCTCTCTTAACAACTAGTATTTAAGTTGTGTTGCTTATGATTCCAGAGAGAGTATGCTGGATTATTCATGATTTTGCAGAGTCCTCTTTTAAACAGTTCTAAATTGGTGATCATTGCCAAATCTGATGGCAGTGAATTCCATAGTTAAACTGTAAGTTGTGTAAGGAACTATTTCCTTTTAATGGTTCTGTTCTTTCTGCACTGGTATCGGAATGATCCCCAGGGAGAAAATCTATCCTGTAGCCACATTTTCTATAACATGCTTGATTTCATATATTTTTACTGTTTTACCCCACTTCTATCTTTCTAAGCTGAAACATTCCAGATGCCATCATCTCTCCTTGTACAGGTGCTGCTTCACCTCTCCCAGCCCCTTAGGTGGTTCTGCCCCTCTCACAGCTCTGTAGTTTCCCATTTGGGGACCAGAAAATGTATTGGCGGTTTTATTTTCAACCCCTTTCTTAATATTTTGAAGTATGATACTCACACTTTTGACAGCAACCATATATTGGGCTGATATTTTCATTTAGGCTAGTCATCAGGGCTCCAGGACCGGTTTCTCAGTCAGTGCCATCTCAAATCTCATTAGCATCTACCCAAAAGTTTGAAGTTTTGCTCTGTGCATCATGTAGTGCTGGTTTTCTTTGTGTGTCCTTTCAGAGCCCATCCATGCAATTTGGAGATACCCTTTTTGCCATCAAAACAGTGCTTCAGTTGCTGTACGGATTTTACATGCATTAAATGAAATTAATTTAACTGGCATTGGTAAAGTTTTTGTTAGCATATTTCTCAGTTGTGTGAATTACACAGTTTGTGTTTGGAGGAAGAGGGCAAGTGAAGGGGCAGTGGTGGGATAAAAGGTTGACCCCCCTCTCATAGGACTTGTGAATCAAGAGCTCCTCTATACCCTCTGTATAGAGAGAAGGAATTGCCTGTTTGTTACTTGAAGCCCTGTTAATCACGTCAATCTTCCACTCCCTTTCTCCAACCTGTTCCCACAGAAAGTGGGCAGTGACCATGCAGCCAACTACTTTCCTCAACTTCCTTTGGAGAAAGAAGTAGAGTATCACTGTACGACTTTGGGGAAAGTACAGCATCACTGTACTTCAGTGATACGGGCTGGTTGGATTCACACAGACATTTGCCCTTGGTTAAACTAAAGAGGGTTTATGGTATTAACTCAGTTATCTGCATGTGCTTACACTGTGAGCTATCAAGTAACCACACAAGTTGGGTCCACATATTTTGCAAAGCTGGAATGTGACGGACTAGTTTATGTTCCATTGTGTCATGCGTTATTGTGGCTACCCAAGAAAGCTCTCTGCCATGTGTCTGCTTCCTTACTCTATAGCAGTGTTGTCCAAACTTGGCCACTTTAAGATGAGTGGACTTCAACTCCCAGA